TTACTAATAAATGCATGTAATGATCAGACTATACATTATATTTTTGTTTTTCATTGCTAGAACTTGTGCACAGTAAGGATCATATATTTTACCTTGCAACTTCAGCCCTCCTTTTCGCCTGCTCTGCTATTTCAGATAGTTCCGTGTAGCTTTTGTCGTTCAAGAGAGCCGAGCTATCAGTGCCACCTGTCGACAGCCCGTGAAGTGTGCGTTGAGCCACGGCCCACTGTGCTTCCCTCTCGCCCCTTCCGTAGTCCTTCTTGGTGGTGAAAGCAGTCTAGTTCGTCCCAAGAAAAAAAAAAGATCAATAAATAAACGAATCTCGAAAAAAATGAACATAAAAAAAAAACAGTATTTTATATAATCTTACCTTGTTCTGAATCATCGAGTCCCAGGCTTTGCCTGTTAAAGCAAACCGGATGATGAACTTGAGTACATCGAGCGGGAAGTACGTGATAATGCTGAAAATCCAAATAACTCCGGCCCATCCCCACCCAATGCCGCTGATTCTTGCAAATTCCCAGTCTGCATACACAGCAATAACCGTGGCCAACTGAAAAAATCAAAGCGAAGTCACGGTTAGCAAGCTTTCTTTATGAATAAATTAAACACAAGAATGATTGTTTTCTAGTTTTTGTTTTGCTAGTTAATTAGTTACTCACCAATTGGGCCACCAAGAAAGCTCCCATGAGCAAGAAACCCGGGCGCTCAACGAACGACCAGCTCCTCGACCTCGTCACAAAGATAAGAGCCTGGCTTATAATACTCACTTGAAGGTAGAGTGCAGCTGTAAGCTCGTCCGGGCTCTCCCTCAACGATTTCACATTAAATGTTGTCTATAAAATATAACAAAAATAAATAAATAAGAGAATCGTTCGTTTATTACTTCATTTAAAAAAAAAAGAGGGGGAAGAAAAGAAAATTACGGAGAAGAAATCGGTATCGGCTGCAAGGTAGAAGAATATGACAGTCATGAGTGCCATATAAGTCCCAAGAACGACACCAGTTGCGAAAATCTCCTTGAGTTTCCACGAATCGGGCACTGGAGATGGCTTTACCCTGTCCTTTGAAATGGTCATGATGGTACCGTCGTTGAGTATTGCGATTATGAGGACCATGAAAGGCGAAAAGTCGAACTTCCAGATGAGAGCAATGAGCAAGAAACCCATCACGATACGAATCGTGATCGAGACCGCGTAAATCGTGTAGTTTTTCATCCTCTGGAAGATGGCTCGGCTGGTCAGTACCGCGCTCACGATCACACTCAATCCCGGCTCGGTTAGGACAATGTCAGACGCGCTCCTTGCGGCATCCGTGGCGTCGGCCACCGCAATTCCGATGTCGGCCTTTTTGAGTGCCGGAGCATCGTTCACACCATCGCCAGTCATGCCGCAAATGTGCTTCTTCTCTTGGAGTTTCTTCACTATCTCGTATTTGTGCTCTGAACTCGAATAAACAAAAAACCTGGTTTTAGCTAGTTTTGATTTAGGCAAATGCAATTTTTTTTTTCTTGTTTTTGATTCTTTTTTTTTGTCACCTGGGAAAACTCCGGCGAATCCATCGGCCTTCTCGATGAGCTCGTCGACAGGGATGGAAGCAATGGACTCGTCTTTGTTCTGGCCGAGTAGGGCAGAGGATGGGTACATATTGGTCCCCATTCCAAGCCTACGGCCTGTCTCAATTCCGATTGCCAGCTGGTCGCCTGTTATCATCTTCACATTTACTCCAAGGTCAAGGGCCTTACGGATGGTCTCGGCACTATCGTGCCTCGGCGGGTCGAAAAGTGGAAGCAAGCCCACGAATTCCCATGGCTCACCCGCGCTCTCCTTTGTCCTCTCGTTTACGGTCTGCAATAAAAAAATCGTTCGTTATGAGATACAATTCGAAAGAAAAAGATAGAAAAAACGTATTTTTTATTTTGTTATTGTAACCTGTCTTGCAATGCCGAGGGAACGGAGGCCACGGTTGGCGAAGTTGTCGATTACAGCGTGGGCTTTCTTCAAGTCTTCACCTTTGAGGAGGCAAAGTTCGATGATCTGTCACAAAAATTACGAAACGGTTAAAAGGTTGTACGCAAGCATACATTTTTGGAATGTCTGGTTTGTTTTTTTTGTGTTCACCTGCTCGGGAGCACCCTTGCTGCACCTATGCCAGTTCCCATCGTTATCGATGTAGGTGATTGCCGTGCGCTTGTCTACCGGGTTGAATGGTAGGAAATGCACCTCTTTTATTCCCGCTCTCGCCTAAAATCACACACACATAGAAAGAAAATAATGCATGCATTTTTGGGTTGGGTACACTCACAACAACAACACGTGGACACTAACATAATTACTTCGTTAGATTAATAAAATATTTATGCATTTCTTGATCCATCTTGTCAAGGAGGTGTTGAATTAAACAAGCATGTGTACCACATATTTTATTTTATTATCGTTTTACCTCCCGTGGATCACCGAGCATGTTGACGATGGAAGCATCAATAGCATCCTGGTTCTCGACTCTAGAAGCTCTGGCGGCAATTAGGACAACATTATCCTTGTCCACGTTCTTCGGGAAAACTTCGATCAAGCTCTTGTCGACCGTTAGCTTGTTGAGCGTAAGAGTTCCAGTTTTGTCGCTGCAAAGCACGTCCATTCCGGCCATCTCTTCAATGGCGGTCATCCTCTTTGTGATGGCGCCTTGTTGGGAGAGCCTATGGGACCCGATGGCCATGGTCACAGAAAGAACCGTGGGCATGGCAATAGGGATACCACCAATAAGCAAGACGAGCAAGTTGTCGATCCCTTGTCTGTAGTTCCTCTTCTGAATCGGGTACATTACCAAGATCTCGATCAACATGCCGAGCGCAATCGAGCATATGCAGAAGTTACCGATGGCGGTCAACACCTGTTCAAAAAACAAGCAAGATCATTCAGAACGGTCCCTTTGGTTTTATAGCCAAGCAGAAAATGCAAAAGATGAAATATAGCCACTTTTTGTAAGAGTGTGAATAATTGTCATTTTGCCGTGTTGTGAAATGACACAATTACCCTACTACTAAAAACTGGATTTTCAGAACAATCCCTTGGTTTTATAGCCAAGTAGCAAATGCAAAGATGAAATATAACCACTTTTTGTAGAAGTATGAATAATATAGCCATTTTGCCCATGTGAAATGACATGATTTTCAGAAACAATTTTTGTAGGCCCGACAAGCTTCGACTCTGGCATATATACCTTTTGGAAGTGGCCGATATTGTTGGTGCTGTCGACAAGATGGGCAGCTTTTCCGAAAAAGGTGTGGACTCCGGTGGCAATAACAACAGCCTCGATTTCACCTTGCTTGCATGTGGAGCCCGAGTAGACGCCTTGGCCCGGGTGCTTGGTGACGGGTAGCGACTCGCCCGTTAGGGCCGACTGGTCGATCTTCAGGGGATCACCCTCGAGGAGACGAGCATCGGCCGGGATGATGTCACCGAGCTTCACGCTGATCAAGTCTCCCGGGACTAAGATCGAGGCCTCCTGTTCGCTCCACTTGCCGTCTCTCAGAACCTGCGATTATTATAACTATTTTTTTCTTTTCTTTCTCGATATATTCCTAAACACGAAATGAAAAAAAGTAGATAGATGCTCGAAATAACGGGACCTTGGTCTTGGGGGCAAGGCCGGCCATGAGGGCAGCCGCGGCATTTCCAGCGTTGTTTTCCTCAATGAAGCTGATAGTCGAGTTGATGATGAGCAACACGACTATGCCGACAAAGTCTTGCCAGTCGGGAGGCTTGCCCTGCAAATTTTACTTTTATTTTTATCGAAATTGTTTAGAACTAATATATCAAAAATTTATTTTATTTTTTAACACGAAATTGTTTACCCCGCCGTTGGCCAAGACAATGGCCATGATGGCGGCGGATTCCATGACCCACGACAGAGGGTTCCACATGAATCCGAGGAACTTGAGGAACTTGCTCTCCTTTTTCTCCTCGAGCTTGTTGGGCCCGAAGATCTCGAGCCTCTTGTTTCCTTCATCGCTCGTTAGCCCTTCTCTCGAACATTTCAACGCCGTGAAAACTTCCTCGATGGGAATGTTCTCCTACGCAACATGAATTTTCGCGTTTAGTCGATAAACCAAACCGTTTAAGAAAAAAAATGTGCGTGCAACTCGGAATCAAATCAAAAACAAAGAAAGCAACACAAGACTAATTATATTAATTACTAGACATGCATGATTAACTAATCTCAAAACAAGTATTTTTCGTCGCATTCTCGTATTTTTACGAAAAACACGCGTTGAAACTACATGCGTGTATAGTAAGATACGATGTACCGTCAATAATTACAACGAGGAATAAAAGAAAAACAAAAAAGGAGTTACAAATACTTACAAGATCGACAGTCTCATTCTTGATCTCTTCAAGATCCGAAGCCATTTTTCTTTTCTTTTCTTTTTTTGTTTCTTTATTTCTGATAAAGAAACACACGTCGTAAGATTTTTACGATGTGTATT